AAAGGCCCTTTAGGTAGGTTTAATTTGGTTGTTGTCAACACTTTACTCGCTGCCTAGTTAGCTCATGTTGTAGATCGAGCGCCTAACGGCTCTGCTGGAGGTCGAAGGTCCAAGCCTCAGACCTGAAGAACGCTCTTAAAGGACCACGCTCAACAAGGATGCATTGCGAGAGTGGTGGCCTTTCTCAGTATTTTCTGTATTACAGAAAAAGAAAACCTACCATGTGTGTAATACTATTTGAATGAATCTTAATCGAGAACCGGCTTTTTTGTACCTTCATATGGTTTCTTCATGTGTCTAATGTCTATTAACTACGTATTTTTGACGTTTCATTACGCGTTCGCTGTAAGGAAGCCATCGAAAAAAGATCGTCCTACGCGACGAAAAGCCGCCCTATTACATGGCCGACCAGATCAATTCAAAATCATGGAATAGGCAAAGTACAAGCTTGGAATTTGGCAAGTAAACGAGCATAGAGTTTGCAGAAGCCCTGCTACACAGTATTTCGGTGGAAAGTCAAATAAAAAGCTCCTCACAGTCTTGGGTGACCGACGGACGGGGGAACGTTTACAATCCATCTCTAGGCTAATCCCATGTATGGTTTTTGAGTAACCTTTCATTTGCTGCGAGACAAATTGAGAGATACGTTTCTCCTAAATGTCATCTTGAAATCCCATATTCTTTATGAATATTTTGAAACATCGTGAGTTTGTATCGAACGTGGAGTGTGACGAATTTATTCAGAGAAGGCGTAGCGCTTCTCCTTTTACGAATCCTTTCTTCGCGCCTGATGAATGACCCCAATAAAAACTCAAGTATTCGAAGGTCTTTGTCTCTTTGTAATGCGTTTGGACGTGAAGGATCGATTTCCTGTGAAGCCTCTCGCTTTCGTACATTTTTATGTGATATTTCAACCGTGAATAGTGATTGTATCGTGGTACATTCACAGAATCAGTGTAATATAGTCTCTTGACAGAATGTAGCTGTTTGGTCGTCTTACAAATTCTTCTGCCTGTCTTTGGTTCTGCTCCACAGACAGAAAACGTCGTCAATATATCAAAGTAGTGATTTAGTTGTGCTCTGGCTGATGATACCCTTTTTCTATTTTTGTCATGAAAATATTGTTAAAAGCGATCATGACTAAAACATCACACGAGTGCATACGGGTAACATATGAGTAAGATATGGAACATACGGATACATACGAATACATACGACTAACATACGACTAGCATACAAGTAACGGATCAATGCTGCCATCTGGGCACGGCACACGAAATCGAGTATAACGAGGAAGTTAAAAAAAACGAGCGCGTTCTACACGAAATCGAGTATAACGAGCACGTCAAAAAGGACGAGCGCGTTCTACGCGAGATCGAGTATAACGAGCGCGTTGAAAAGAACGACCACGTTAACCTTAAAATCCAATACAACGAGGACGTTAAAAAGAACGTCCTCGTTTATACGATTTCATCGTATGGTTCAACGATCTTTCGTAACATCGTGCTCGTTGTCGAAGAACGTGTTCTTAGACAACGAGCACGAATCAGATCGTTAACGATATTGATCGTTACGAATCAGATCGTTGACGATCTAATCGTCGACCTTAAAATCCTGCCATTATAGCTATCATAATGTTTACGTTTTATATTGTGGACTAGTTTAAAATTCAACCAAAATTTTTCTATCGGTTTGTTGAGCATAAGTGCCCTAAAATAGCTAGTTGGTGATCCTCTGCAAACACCATTCAGGGGAAGGTATATATGCGACACATGATAAAGCCTCTCGCTCTTATAATTTTTTAGCTCAATTTTTTTTTTTATTTCCAGCTAACGCTGCTGAATCAGATAAGAGGGATTTGGTTAATGAACTCGAGACCACGAAACATCTGAGGCCGCATCCTCACGTTATTAAACTTGTAGGATGTGTTACAGCATCCGGTGAGCTACTTTAGCTGTTTTTATATGCTGTTGAGGAATGGGTCTGTTCCCTTGTTTGTCGCGTGGGAAAGAATATTCAAGAATGCAAGGGAAAGCCCCTCCTAACCCCCTCCACACGTTTTTGAACAAGTTACAATATGAGATGCAATGATACTAGAGCGCTGCACTAGTATCGCAGAGGTCAGTGGTTCGAGTCCCGTACAGGCCTGACTTTTTTCAGGTCTGATTTTCGCTATTGCGTAAATAGCGCTATCTACTGCGAGGATCGCACATCATACGTAAGTTATAATATACAAGGATTGATTTGTAATCATTCTCAACCCTTGTGGTTTTAACGTGGTCGAGTGGTTTTTCTATTTTTTTTTTCTTACAAAAATTAAACACAAGTTAAAATTAAACATAAATGCCGAAGGTGATGTCTCTCGAAAATAACTTCTCAGCCGCAACTCAAAGCTCTATGTGTCAATAGGAAGCACTCAGTTTAACTGCCTCATGATTTTCTCTTTAAGATGAGGTGAGCGTGGTGGACACGCTCGAGATGGCTTTTTTATATAATATAGCGCGCAAACTCATTTTTTTAATTTCCTCTTGAGTAAAACGGTCAAAATCTCTATGGACGCACGGCTATGCTACAGTGGGATAATCTGTGCATATTAAACTTGTTTCAAAATTCCTTTCTAGTTTAGGAGCGTGTTTCCATCCTTTCAAAATGGTTTACGTTTTGGAACTTAAATAATAAGTGAAATGACTATGAAATGCCCTCTCTTTAATCTTAGTGCTTCATCATCTCTTTAGAGCCACTACTGGTGCTGATCGAATACGTGCCATATGGGGATCTGCTGGGTTACCTTAGAAAGAGCCGTGGATTAAATGACACTTACTACAAAGACCCAGATATCGAACCGAATACAAATCTGACGTCACAGCAGCTGATGAAGTTCTCCTGGCAAATAGCTGATGGCATGAGTTACTTGTCCTCAAAATCTGTAAGCTAAATCACTTTCCGAAGTGTTGAGGTACGCATAGCTATTTCAACTTGGAAAAAAAAAATAGATGAAAGGAATATTTATTTCATGAAAAGCAGAGCCTTACTTTTATAGCCCATCCGATGCGACACACGCTAAGTTTACTCGTTACTTCCTGACGCAATATCTCGGAATAGATATTTTTAATCTTTCTTAATTAAACCTTGTCAGTTTTGTTATTACTCAACTTAGGTTTTCATTTTAGTTCTGTGTTGATTTTAATCCTCAGATAATTCACCGAGACCTTGCGGCCCGTAATGTTTTAGTTGGAGCGAGAGAGACGTGTAAAGTGACAGACTTTGGAATGGCCAGAGATGTCCAGGAGGAAAATATTTACGAAAAAAAGAGCAAGGTTATCAAGAATTCTACATCAGTTCTGCATCGTTGTGGTAGAGCTGACACATCCGTTGTTCCGTTGGTGCAACCCTTAGATTGAACCCTAATCATTCATTAAATGTTATTTACAGGAGTATTACATCAACTATCAATGTATTTTATTTGTTGCTTTTTATAATTTCTGAGCTGTATCACAAAGCGACGTTTGAAAAATTTAGGGTCGTCTTCCAGTGAAGTGGACAGCTTATGAAGCCTTGTTGTATGGAAAATATACCACCAAAAGTGATGTGTACGTATTCTTGATCGTTACCCATATTTATAGTTATTACCTGATATATTTTACTAAATTTGATATGAACATGAATTGTAGCCATTGCATTAAGTTCATGTCTTTTATCACCTTCGCTTCTTACGTTTGTTTTTTTTTGGCATGCAGATGGAGTTATGGAGTTGTCCTTTATGAGATCTTCACCATAGGTAATATCCGATGGACTTATACGAAACTCTTTAAAATTTGTTTGAATTTAACTATATCCTGTTCAGTGAGACAAATATAATGCGATCTGCAATGCAAGATTATACTTTATCGAGTGACTCAGGTCGGTGTTACAGTGAAGGTCGTTGTTTCGTCACATTTATATCTTATGGTTTCTCTAGGGGGTTCACCTTATCCAAGAATGGACGGAAGAAAAATTGCAAACTTGCTTCAAGAAGGATATAAGATGCCTAAACCACAACACGTCGATGAAGAATTGTAAGTTTCCCGTTTTTCAAATTGTTCTCTTTCATTGCATAAGGAAACGTTCTTTCAATCTCTAACAGATCCTTTGAAAAATACCATGTACCAGGTCATGATGAAATGCTGGAAAAATGACCCGGACGCAAGACCAACATTCATTGAATTGACAATTCA